ATTAAAAGGCGGCCCACTGGGTAGATGGTAAGGCCCTGAGAGCTGCTGATGGAAAGATCACTGAGGAGTGTGGAGATCAGTTAGGTGCCCACCACTGCTTCTCCTGGCATGGGTGGTCACTATTGTGTCTCACATTCAGTTGTGTGCAAAGAGCAGGCCATCTTCTGAAGTAGTGTCTCCATCTCAAGAAAATGGACAGACTTCCAGGAGAAAAGCAAGATGGCTTTATCTGCTGGAGCATGGCTGAGTGCCCGTGGACCTGGCCAGCACCCCGGAGGTCCAGCAGAGCCTTTCCTGTGAGCCACCATGAGGCTCCGGGCAGCCTCTGTTCTGCCGTTACTCTCTTCCCTCTCCCTGCTTTCATTCACTTCTCAAGTTTTATATCTTTGCTCACATCATCACTTCTGGATATGACCTCCTTCCAATGTCCAACTGTGGTAGCTATTTATTGGGGTTCATTTTATATAGCCCTATTCTCTGAACTCTGCCGGAGCTGGGACTGGAACTCAGCAATAGAGTAGTAGTAGTAGTGTACACTGGGTCCAGGATTCCACCATGGTTATAACAAAAAAGAAACCTTTGTTGGTTTTTGTTTGTTTGTTTGTTTGTTTTGTTTTCCCAGGAAGAATCCTCATTCTTCTTGGTAGGGGGAGCCTTGTGGTTTGCCTGTTGGCATACCCACACATCTGAGTTATGGCCTGAAGAGGGCACATTTCTCAGGCCTAACACCTGTTTCTGGTGCTACCAGGGTTGGGGACAGAGTTACTGGCCCCACTGTCCACTCTGGAAAGGTGAGCCATTGTCTTTGAACAGAGGACAAGCCTTCTGAACAGCCAGAATAGCCAGCCGGTTATATACTCATTACTTTGTCTAAGCTGTTGTTTTTATAGGGACATATGACATCAGCACCTAATTGAGTTGAAGTAAGGAATCTAGGTGTGCACACAGTTCCGAGAGTGACAGCTGCATCCAGCACAGCCCACACGTTCTGCAGAAGAGGGAACTGAGTCCTGCACTGTGGGATCCACTACAGCTTCACCTGACTCAGACTGTTTCCTTTCAGCCAAGTGTCTTTTTTCCTGGACTGTCTACCTCTTCAAGCTTATTTTTAATTCTGTTTTATTTGGCCTTATGTATAGCAAAAAAAAAAAAAAAAAAAAAAAAAAAAAGTCCAAGTTTAGGAAAGAGAAAGACGAAAGGATTTGGACCATTTAGACAGAGATGTGCCTTTTTAAAAAAAAGTATGGGGTGTCTTAATTTGGGTCATTTAGACAGAGAAACCTTGAAACTGTGGGATGGCTTATACCTGATGCTGAAAGGGTTCTGCTCTCTGCAGAAGGAGGGCATCTTTGAAACAAGGACTGAGAGCAAGCATTGAAGCTGTAGATCAGAAGTAGACATACTTTTAGACTGCTGAGGGTTCGGGTTCAGTCTCAACCCCTGTTTTCCAGGAAGGACTAAGAGCGTGAGGAATAGGGAGTACATAGATAAGGTGCATGTCCTTTGGGGCATTACCACCTGCGTGGTCCATCTCTATCCCTGTCCCAGAACAGCTCCTCTGGTCTCGTTCTCTTTTAACAGATGCAGGCTAAGAATGTAAACTACACAGCCTACAGCCTAAGTTTATAATTGACGTTTACAAGATGTATGTGTTTACTTTATGCCATATAGGGCTCTCCCAGAGAGATTTGACATTCCTGGATAATGGCCTGTGTTGTTGAGGGTGAAATGTGCGAAGTTAATGGTTGCTTGTGGAAGAATGGAGGGGAGAAATGAGAAAGTGGCTCATTGTTCATTTATCAGAGCCTCTAAGGGTTATTTCTTTGAAGGTGTTGGTTTGGAAATGACTTTGGCATTTCAAACACAGCACTGAGTTGTTAGCACTGATAATCTGAAGGTAAATTGTGGCCACTGACTACTTACCCACTGTTAGGAAGCCAGCCACCTTTCCCCTTGACTTTTGCACCACAATAATGAACACAAAAGAACTTCTGTGACTCCTAGAAGGGTGGGACTTTCCCCACCAGCAGGCAGTGGTCAGTTCTGCAGTAGATCCCAGCCGGAGTCTTTTAGTCACTTCTGACATTTTCTGTCGTGTCAGAGCCCATGCCAAGACCACAGTCCCCAAGCCTCTTTCCCACTTGAGGTGCCAAGCCATAAGCCCTAGTTGTTTCACCCATGCTTCTGACCCACAGACTATCTAGAAGGTTCCCACAGCACTCTAGGTTTTTGATACATTGGGTAGAGCAGCTCATAGAAGTCAAGGAAACATTTGTTCTCTTTTATGGTAAAGGGTTTGACAGAGGACCCACATGAATCAAAGCATAAGGGGAGGCAGACAGGAAAGTTGAGGAGGGTCAGGATGAGGAAGGTCATTTGACCTAAGTAAGAACAGGCCTGAGAATGCCCAAGAGGAACATTGGGTAGGACCAGTTTCAAAGATTTATTGTGAAGAAGAGAAATTGTAGTTTATGGGGCCTGCTTTGGGGAGGGAATTGTAATATCAACCTTCCTGTCTGGTAACATGTGTGCAAGTACTGTCTAGCTGAATAATGTCTCTTAAGGGCTTTACCATTATTATTGTTAATTATTATTATTACTTAACATTATTTTAACTAACTTAATATTAAACTTCCATATGCCTTGATATATTTTCCAAATTTTCTTTGTTTTCCAAATTTTATTGCAGATGAGGTAAAATCTCCTAATTAAGGAAAAAGAATCTTTGATTTTGGGAGGAAACAAGGTTTTGTTTTTCTATTTAAAGTTAGAGAAATTTGGGGTATTTCTGCTGCATTACTTTACTTTGATCCCAAGTTGCCTGGTTTTTGTTGAGTACATGAAATTTCTGATTGTGGAATTAGAAAATCTGTTATGTAGGATACAGTCCAGTTCTATGTTTAATTGTTCTATTCATAGATAGTCACTGTCACTTCACTGGGACCTTTCAGTCCAGAGGCTAGCATGGTCACTGAGCTCCAGTTGCCTCTCCATTTGTCTTCCTTGCTTTTGGTGAGATGAATGGCATCCTCTTTGTAACATGATCCTGTGGTTATTACATAAACCATGTTCAGGCTTGAAGCAAAGGCCTTGTCCTCTCATTTTGCCTTCACAACAACTGTAAGCTCAGTACTGCTGTGTCCCCTGACTTTTTAGAAAATGAGGCAGGCACTGAACAAATTAAGCTACTGACCCACCCAGGACAGGAGTGAGCATGAATATGGAACCAGGCTTATGAGACCTCTGTGATGTTGGCTTCATCTGTCCACTTGGAAACCATGTACAAAGCCTAATGATCACCTTACTTCTCGGTGCCCTGGACCATTGTTGCTCATAATTAATGCAGCACATTTCTGTAGCCTCTCTGGGTCTGTTTGTGTTTCTCCTGGAATGCTTAGCCTTGACCAGCTTGGGATAGAATTGGGTACCCATGGTGGACCTCTGAGGTTTCCACTTCTGTTCTGTGTCTTCTTTACAAGCAAGCAAGCAAGTCAGAGAGTATTAGTGCTGTGCTTTGGGAGTTTGGAGGAGTCCAGTGAGCTACACACCTCTTCCATGCCCACTTTGTATTGGATGGAAAAGTTGATAACTGTTAGATAGATGAGAACAAAGTATCACTTTTATTATTAACACAGCATATTTTGGAGGTAGGATGGAGACTCAGGTAGCTCTAACCAAGAAAGGACATTTTTCAGAGGAAGGGTTAGAGGAAGGGCATTTGTTGGGTGCAGAGACACAGAAAGAAAGACTACAGCTAGAATTGTGAGTGAGGACTGTGGGACTGGGTCTCCGACCCCTCCATAGATGGTGCTTTCAGGAAAGATCGTGTAAAGGTTACAAAACTTACTAGCTGAAAGACTTAATGTCCAGATGACTGAGGCTGGGCCAGCTTCCTGGGGGCTCTTTGGGGAGAGGAAAAAAATGGAAAGATTCTGTTACAGAAAGCTATTCTGAGTCTCAAAGCATGCTCGCTTATGGAGCTTCCCCAGTGAAACATCTCTGGGTTATGTAACTTTCAAATTGTCTATCTAATCAATCTATCTAGATGTTTATGTATTTTTATATCCTTATTATATTTTTCATTTACATGTGTTTGGTATGTTTTTCTATTGAATTGATCTATGGTCATTCACTTTACAAAATATTTATTTTTCTTTATGTATATAAGTGTTTTACTTGTATGTAAGCATATATGTATAGCATCTGGTGCCCAAAATCAGTCAAAAGGACAGTCAGATCCCTTGGAGCTGGAGTTAAAGATGGTGGAGTCACTGTGTAGGTGCTGGGAATTGAACCTGGGTCCTCTGTAAGAATAGCAAGTGTCCTTAACTTCTGATCCATCTCTTCAGCCGTGTGCCTTTTAAAGGGAAACGAGATCACAATATTGAGCAGCAAGTGTTAAAAACGTGACTTGCCATGTGAGATTTTATGTGATTCTTATTCTTAAAAATATATACCATATCTGTAATCCCAGCACTCAGGAGCTGAGACAAGAAATTTCCATGAGTTTGAGATCAGCCTGAGCTGCATAGTGAATTCCCAGACTCCTACACAGTGAGTCTTCATCTCAAACAAAAAGAAGCAAATAAAATCCAGACCTGTTTAGAGATTATGCCTGCCTGCAGGAGTTAGGCTGACTATGACACACTGATGTTTCTCTGTTGACCTTTACTCTAACAAATTTAGGTGCCAAATTTCCTTAAACCTACCTGACATAGATGCTTTTCTTTATTCTGGGTGTCTGAAGATAGGCCCGTTATCTACTAGTCATTAAGTGGGCCCCCATTTATGTCATCTTCATGCTGACAAGATCTTGATAAACGTTATATTAACTGTGAACTAAGAATGTCAAAAATTTTTGCAACTCTAGTTCAAATTTATCTGTAAGGAAATAAAATTATTTCTCTTGAATTTAAAGTCAATGGCCTACACACGACTGTAACATCCAAATTTTAAAATTACAGCAATTAATGTCTCTCTTCTTTTTTTTTGTCTTTTAGCTTCTCAGAGAAACTGTTTGTTGGGAAAGGCTTACATTTTCAGCCATCAGTTCTAGATTTTGGAATACAGTAAGTATCTTTTTATTATAATTCATTGTGTTTATATTTATATTAAGCATACCTTCTTAGATTTTTAATTATATATGTATGTGTTGGGGGTGTGGTTCTGTGCCGATGCCTACAGAGATCAGAAGAGAGCTTTGCACCCCCGAGGGGCTGGAGTTGTAGGCAGTTAGAGTTGCACAGTGTGGGTGCTGGGAACTGAGCTCTAGTCCTCTGCAAGAGCAACATGAGCTGATAACCACTGAGCCCTCTCTAGCTCCTGTTCTCAGTGTATCTTTTCTATGATGATATGTAGACAGTGTTATATGTTAAGCATATAAGCATGTCGATCCTAAGACTTGTTAAAGAAGTATTTTCATGAAAAGGAGAGTCCTTTCTTAATATTTTGTTGTTTATTAGGGATTGGAGTTTGGATCTTGTTAATGCCAGACATAAGCTTTACTATTGATCTGTACCATCAGCCCCACCGTTCTAGTTATTTAATGATATGTTTTATACTGTTTGATGGTGGCTAGGCTTCAGTAAGAAGTCAGTGTTAAGCCTTTGTTTTTCTGGAACAAGTTGGAATATCTTATAATAGGAAAATCGAGTACTAATGGTTTCTGAATTCTTTTAGGCCAGATGCATTTGTTTCCCTTTCCTGCTGTGCTTCCAGCCTAGAAGTTGTACTCTCTACGCAGTTATTCAGACTAATTGTGGACATTTAGGTAGAGAAGATGAGATGAGCTGAAAGAAGACTTGGTGTTAAGAACCATGAATTAAGAAACACAGGCTTTGGGATCACATGAAGAAGAGGAGGAGGAGAGGCTAGAGAGGAGGCAGCTTAGAACCCTGTGATGCAGTTCGAAATGTTAAAAACTGTTTACTAAGCTCCTTGTATGCATCTTCAAATTCGCCTCCTCGAAGCTCTCCTTAGGCTCACAGGGTCTGTTCCTCACCCTCTAGGAGGAGCTTTTGTGAGTTCAAGCAAAGCTGGGTGGAGTCACATGGGGATGAGTAAACACAAGGACCAGTGGGGTCTGGGGTGACTTTGTGCATTCATCTACCATTTTTGCCATTTCCTTCTAAGTTTCTGAAGGTTAGAACAATAGGGAAAGGCTGACTTGGAAATGAAATGTCTTGCTGAGCTTTTTAAAGGAAATTTTTCTAAAAGGAGGAAGAGGTAAAATTGTTAAGGTATTTTGCTGACTTTATAGACTCTAGGATTTAATTACTAATTATTTAATTAATGACAAAGGTGTTACACTGTAGCCCTGTTGGCTTGAAAGTTACAGAGTTCTGTCTATCTCTGCCTCCTGAATGCTGGGATTAAAGGCTTGTATTACCATGACCAGAGTATTTTGTATTGAATTACTATATTTTTATTTTTAGATAAGAGGAGAGGAGGGAAGGGACACTGAGGTTAGTATGGAAAATAAATTTTAAAAAGATGGAAGTAAACAAAATAAAACAAAAAGCGGAATTTATAATCATTTAACTGATAGTATAAGTAAGATGACTTATCACTGGCTTCAAATCTGAGAGACTGGTTTATACAAAGTTTTTGTTTTCCTTAAGAAAATGTGTGTGTGTGTGTGTGTGTGTGTGTGTGTGTTTGCAGGGCTACTTTAAAAACTATAGATTGGTTGGTATGATGAAATGGATCATGGTGAATGTAGCTAAAGTAGAAAAAGATTCAAATTATAGGATCTTGGCTGTCATTTACTCCATCAGAACATGAAATTCTAGAATTTGGTGCAGGAGACAGTGGTTCAGAGGGCTTGCTACTTTTTTCAGAGGACTTGGGTTCATTTCTAGCTCTCAAATGACAACTCACAACTGTCTATAATCCAGGGAATCAGACACTCCCTTCTGGCCAGGCACCAGCTAGCTATACATGTGGTGCCCATACATACATCCAGGCAAATACTCATATACATAAAATAAAAGTTTTTTTTCTTTTAAATTCTATAACCAGGCATGATGTGAAACCCACGAAGACTCAATAACTTAAAATAGTCTATAATCAGTGAGTATATGTATATATGTGTGCTGCGTTTCTCTTAATTAGCCACATGCATTAATCACTGATTCTGTTATCTAAAAACCATACTGAATGGCATATAAAGGCTTTGATTTGAAAAGGTTACTGATTTTTAGGCTTGAAATACTTTCAGAAAATTCAGTTAAGTTATATAATACTTTATAGTTTTTGGTATGTGTGTTTTATGTCATTTGATTTGTGTTGTTTTGTTATTTTGTTTTGTTTGAGATAGGGTCTCACTGTGTAGCCCTAGCTGGCCTGGACCTCAAGTGGACCAGGTTGGCCTCAGTCTTGTGGCAAATCTCTTGGTTCTGTCTTTGTAAAGCTTGTGTGCAGTACAGCAGCCTTCATCATTTGAGTTTGGGGCGAGTCCTGAAAGGGTAAGGTAGGCAGGTGTTATCTGAGCATGCATATCTCATTTTCTGATGTCTTTGTGCTTGAGCACGGGGCACAGAAGTTTACATATTTGTTGTGAAGAGCAGTGCAGTTTGCCAAGGGTCACTTACTCGGGGGGGGGGGGGCAAGCTATCACGTACGATGCTAGTTTTCATGGCAGTGAAATGTAGGCTGTCATTTTCTTGAGAGCTTGTTTGGAGGTTCTAGCAGGGGAGCGCAGCTACTCCTATACCCTTGACCCAAGACCTGTCCTCCTCTATTTGGGGAAGGTCGTCCTCTTCGACCCAGCGCACAGCTTCCAGAGCAATGCACATGGAGTGGTGAGGGAGGAAGGGGATACCTGCCTAACCAGCCAGATCAGCCGAATCAACCCTGGCAATCAGTGGAGTGACAGATGGCCCTCACATCAGTCTGTCATTTTCTTAAAGTTTAAAAAAAAAAAAGGACTCTTAAGACCAAACTTTAGTCTCATTTATAACACATTTTTAAAAACCACCTGTGTTTTCCTTGTGTTCACCTTGTTTTCACTGGCTACTTTATTGTTATCAGAACAGCAGTAGTCAGTAGCCAGTACATCTGGCTTGGTTTCCATTTCAGAAGCAGAATCAGGATCTTGTTGCTGCTTTCTCTCCTTTTTTTCCCTGGGAGCTTATTCCAAGGGTTAGCATCCTGCTGGTTCCAAGACTGGAAGTGCTAATCATTCATACATTTTCATCATTCTTTTGTCATATTAAATTAATAGATTATCTTCCAGTTGTCACTACTAAAGGAAATTCATACCCTTTTAGCACATGTAAAAATAGAATATTGAAAAGTAGACTAAAAATAGCCTGTGGTAAGGAGGCTTCTGTCTCAGCTGGGACCATAGCTGCAGCCACCCTGCTGTGAAAAAGGCACTACCCTTTCTCCTTAATGCAGCTCTCAGGGAGACATCTGTGTTCTTGGAAACCAGAACACTTATATTCAGCTATGTGAATAGTATGTAAGGCATTGGGGAATAAGTTTAAATGCTAAGTCTAAATAGCTTTGCTGGTTGGTTGGTACCTTTTACTAAAGCCACTGAAGCCTGTACTCAGTTATGGCAAGAAAGGCAGATATGAGCCCAGCTCTCTGACTGGTTTATTAGTGACCCTTATGTTTACAGTACGGTTTTTGTTGTTTGTTTTTGCTTTAGCTTTTTTGGCTTTGGTTTTTCAGGACAAGATTTCTCTGTGCAGTCTCTCCTGGAACTTGTTCTGTAGATCAGATTGGCCTTGTACTCAGAGATCTGTCTGTCTCTGCCTCTCAAGTGCTTAGGATTAAGGTGTATACCACAATGCCTGGCACTAAAAGATTTTTTTTAATTGAGTTATTTTGGGGGCTAGGGTGGTAGTTATCAGGTAAGAGTGCTTGCTGCTTTTCCAGAGGACCCAAGTTCAGTTCCAGCATCCATATTGGGCATCCCATAACCATCTGTTAAGTCCAGCTCCAGAAGATCTAACTCTGTGGATGTCCTCCCACAATGCACACTCTCTGGCATGCACTCACCCAGATACATACATACATACATACATACATACATACATACATACATGTAAATGAAAAACAGTAAATACAAGTTAAATACTAAAAGAACCAGGGCTTTAATCACACTGATGTATGTTTTATTTATAAGTGGGGGGGTTCTACACTATTTATTTAAAATACTCATCCAAATATATTAAAATCTTCCTATAGGATGAGCACTTAGAAAAGTAGCCACAAAAGCTGGGACAAGATGTCCAAACATTGAACAGAGAAACAACGTGCATATCGCTCTTACTCAAGTGACTTTCCTCTCTTTGAGGCAGAGTAACCCAGGCTGCTCTCAAGCCTATAGTGCTGTCCTCAAGCTTACAGTCCCACTAGGATAAATGGCACATTTCTATTATTAGAAAAAAATTGAACAGAATTAAAGAAATACAAGTATAACACATGAGGATTTTGTTTAAATTGGAATAGGTTTATTTTGGGGCCACACTGATAAGAACTGTGGGTATGGGTAGCTGGAAGAATGACTTGCAGGCTCTACTGTGCCCTAATTGAGCATTCAGTGCTAGATAGTAGCTATGTCTATGTCTATGAGATGGCCCAGGGGAGCTTGGAAGCCCCTGTACTGCGTGGTCCTCCTGCTAGGCTGCTAGCCAAAGCCTCGGGGTGATGGCCTTTCTATTAGAGCATTTCTGGGCGGTTGGTGGGAAGTTTTCCGATTGTGTAAACCATTCTGCCTGTATAGGTTTTTGTTTGTTGTTTTGCTTTTGAGACAGGACTTGTGAATCCCCTGCCTTAGCCTCTTGAGTACTCTCCTGCCATGCTGCATTCCTTGAAAACTTTCGTCCTCCTCTTTCTTCCTCTCTTTGAACTATCATGAAATTGTATTTGCCAAACAGTTCAGTATGAAAATGTACTTACCCCAATATTTAGAGTAGCTTAAATTAGGCCATTTGGAAGAAGGATGCGAACTTCTGTGCTGACCAATAGTCAGGTAAGCTGATTCTGAGGTTTTGGACGCTGTGGTTTGATTTCTTTGTATTGTTCTTTCACCATCTTCTTACATCTTTGATAGTCTTATGAGAAGAAAAAATTCCTTTGTTATGTCTGCCACCATTTGATTTCTGTGACAATCTTTTGTGCACACATCTCTTCAGCTTAGGAAGCAAGGCCTTGCTCCTGGTGTTTCCTTGGTGGCTCAGAGCAGCTTTAATGATGAATGCAGTTTCTTTTCTAAATATATCTTGCTAGTACATGCCAAACAAACATGAAAGCACTTAATAACCCAGATGTGCTGATTCCTTACAACACAGAAACAAATGGAGTGCTAGTATAGATGGTCATTATTAGGGTTAGAAAGATAAAGCCTTTTCCTCGGTTTTTAAAACTGTTATGTATTAAATGTTTTATTTCCAACAAGATTTAATAATTGTTCTGTTGTGAGAACTTTTTCCCAATAGAGGGGAGCTATGCAATGTCTATACCCGTCCTACTAAGGTCCCAATGACAAAGTTTGATTTCACCAAGGGGAACCAATAATTTATTGGGCTTACTTAACAGACCATGAATGAGGGCTTACTGACAAGAGCATGGATAACACTAGAGCAGCTTCACTGGGAGGTTCTTACCCAACATGGATGATAACACTGCCCCATGGCCGTGTAGATGGTGTCTCTTTCCTTTAAGTCTCTACAGCCTTTATACTCTAGCCCCTCTTCAGGGTCACATGCAACTATGAAGAATTATTTCCCCAGCCTCTCCTTCTGTGAGGGACTGTCAGCTGTCAACACACCCAGCTGTGATCTTCTGCAGCCAGACACAGCTGAACACATGATGATGGAGGCGTTTGGCCCTGAAAAATATATGGGCTAGAAATGTAGCTCAGTGGTATGCATGGCACCCTGGGCTCAGTCTTTAGGAAAAAAAAAATAGTATATATGAGTGATACTGATAATTGCAAGGATCTTGCCTTTTTGTTTCCCCAACCAGGTTGCTGGGACATCCTGCAGCGAAGCTTCTGTACGTGTACAACCCCAGCAGGGATAGCGAGGTTGTGGTGAACTCAGTGTTTACAGCTGCTGGACATTTTCATGTTCCTCCTGTTCATTGCAGGGTGAGTGTTGATATCTGCTTTTCCTGATACCCATATTTCCATTTTCTAGGTTTTTGTTTGCTTTATCCATAGTTTTTGTGGCTCTGGATACCTAATGGAGAAACATGTTTAAAGAAACTGTAGTAATGTATGTATATTTAGCATGGCTTTATTTTATCATGGCTAGAGAAAGTTTCTATTATTGATCTTAAGATTGACATGGATGCTGAGACATCAGTAACTAGTGCTGGGTTTATAGATGTACCATCTCAGGCCTTCTTACAAAGCCAGGACTCCTTGTGAGCAGGGCTTCTGCAGTTAACTCTTATCTCAGCAAAGCTGCAGACCTTAGTCTTCTGTAGTTTTTCAGTGACCTTGAACCTCTTTAAGCTTTTACTTATTTTGATTACTAGATCTACTTGATGTTACAATGTTCACAAGGAAATGTTAATGGAGAAGCCCTTCCACATTTGGTTCATGGTTGGTTTGGTTTCTGTGGATAAACACTGTGCCTGGGTTTTGGTTATAGGTCAACATGTTTAATAATAAATCTATACATGTGTACATCATCCTCTATATGTAAATAGAAAGGGTGCTGTGTTAGCTAAAGCCAAGTGAGCATGTAGGTGTGAGGAGGAGAGAGTAGAAAGGTAAGGCACACAGCTCACTCTGGAGTGACAGCACTGGGCAGTTACTTGCCATGAGTGGCAGTCTGCTCTTAGCGTGCCGGAGATGATTAGTTGGGAGAGAATCAGGCTTTGGGATGCTGATAAAGGTACAGGATGCACAAGGAACTATTTGCAGAAGTAGTCAAAAGGAAAATCTGTGAACACTCCTCCAGAGGGCAAGCTATGTACTGTCCTTTCAGGTAATCCCAGCAATGGGGAGAACATCCTTCAGAATTATTTTCTTACCTACTGAAGAAGGAAGCATTGAAAGTTCTTTATTTATTAATACCTCTACACATGGCGTCCTTTCCTATCATGTAAGTAATGCTCTCTCTCTTTGTTTTTTTTTTTTTTTTTTGAGACAGGGTTTATCTGTATTGCTTTGGAGCCTGTTCTGGAACTAGCTCTTTAGAACAGGCTGGCCTCGAACTCACAGAGATCCGCCTGCCTCTGCCTTCTGAGTGCTGGGACTAAAGTCATGCGCTAGCAACGCCCAAGTAACTTTTCTTTTTGCCACATAATTTGCCTTTTGATTTAGAGAACATGACTTTTTTTTTTTTTTTTAAAGGACTCTTGGAGAGATTTCTACTGTCTCACATCATTAAACTATCACCTAGAGTGTTGCTAAATCAATCAACTTCCACCCTTCTACTTTGTGTACCATAGAACCTTCCCTGCAGCCTGATAAATCTTGGGTCTTTGAAATGTGTTAGAATGAAGTAAAAGCTATCGACCATACACTTTTCTAGAATAAAATCTAGCAGGGTCTTCTTCTTCAGACGTGAGAGGGGTGTGCTAAGGGCAGCTCTGACACTTTGCCTACTTACACTTGCTCAGGCATATTTCTGGTGAAGAGATGCTGCCATGTGTGTGCAGTCCATTCCTGGGATCTGCACATTCATACCACTACTCAAATCAAAGTACTGGGAAGTGTACATAAAAAATCATTTTGCTGGTGTTCACAGAACAGGGATATTAACCAAAGTGTGGTACCTGGGTCATGTTGAAGATATGGTGCTTGGGAATTTAAGCATCCACTTTGGTTATATGTGCTTAATTCTCACCAGATTCCATTAAACACATTAATCTCACATCAGAAGAGGTATCCCTATGAGGAGTTTTGCATCATGAAGAACATGTAGTTTTTCTGTAGATGAGGATAGACATGTGGGTCAGCAGGTGCATGCAGACAGGCATTCTCAACTGACAGAGGCATGCTTCTCTTGCTTTCCTACAGGTATCTGGAGTGGGCACTCGCAGAGTCTCTACAGAAGGGTCTGCGGAGCAACTGCCGAACGCATACTTTCTGCTTCCGCAGGTCCAAAGTATTCAGCTTTCACAGACACAGGTCATTTTAACAGAACTACTTTGAACTAACTTGTAGAGTATGCACAACCTGTTCTGTTTGTCATGGTCATATTAGGGTTTGACTCTTTATTTAGAAAAGTCTTGAAATATGGAAATAATAGATTCAAAGTTAATGAATGAAATCTGTGCACCTCTCTTTCTCTCTCTCTCTCTCTCTCTCTCTCTCTCTCTCTCTCTCTCTGTGTGTGTGTGTGTGTGTACACACTTTACCTGACGATGGCAGGGTCTCATTTATGCTAATAAGCAAATGGTTCTGTGTTTCTTTCTTGTTAACCATTGGGCCACGTGCTCATGTTTCTTTATTTTCCTTGTTGTCCATCCATTTCCTTGGACTATGATTTCATGATGAGGCTGTGGTCATAAGCCACGAGCTGTTTTACAGGGCTTGTTAAATCTTCCTGGCTGCTTTTCAGGAAGACAGAAAGAACCACCATCAGTGACAAGCCTCCAAAGATGTTTACCATCCTTTTCCTCTCTCTGATTCCTGTCCTATCTGGATATGGTTTATGGGAGGGAAACACTTAGTTTTGTTTTGTTTTTTTTTTTTTTTTTTTTTTTTTTTTTTTTTTTTTTTTGGAGACAGAGACTTGCTATGTACCCCTGGTTGGCCTGGAACTTGCTATGTAGACAGATCAGCCTGACTTCACACTCATAGAGATTTGCCAGCCGAGATAAAGGGCATGCACCACCACACCTTGCAGGAGGCATGTTTTTATGTTTTAGCAGTTCTATGCAATTGAAAATTATTCACATTTCATTAGCAGCTTATACAGCTGGTCCCTGCTTTAGTACTTAGCTCTCTTTTTCCCAAACTATGCCTATCCGTGACCTGCGTAAAACCTTTCAGTGCATGCCTTTAGGTGTTCAAACTTATACCTAGTCCTCAGCTTAACGTGCAGTCCTTGCCCCGGTTATGTAAGGCGAGTGAGTACTGTGCTCCTGAGGGACAGCCTCCAACCCTGGCTTCTGGCTCCTCAGTCGCCTTGCGCACTGCCTCTGTCCTCTCACGTTGTTGTGCTAACCTCATCTGGTGTTTATGTATGCCATTTCTCCTGCCACATGTTCCGCGCTCCTGCAGTTTCCTCAAGCCTCTCCTCCTCTCTTCTCTAGGTTGCCCTTACTTCAGCCTCTTTCAACTCGGATTTTTTAAGATCCCTGTCCTCTCTTCCCATCCTGGCTCAGCATCTTCATTAGAATGTAGTAGTACTGTGTTCCTTCCCTTTAGAGCACACATGTTGTGGGGGTGAACAGGGGCTAAGAGCACTTGCTATGCAAGCATGAGGGCTTGAGTTCAAACCCTCAGTACCCACTTAGACAACCAGGCATGTCCATGTGCTTGTGGCCACAGTGTTGTGGAGATGGTGACAAAGATATCACTGGGGCTTGCTGCCCCCACCCCACCCTAGCTCCGGGTGTTGTGAGTGTCGTCCCCCCACCTCCAGTTGGAAGATGTGATACAGGGCACCTGGCATAAACCTCTGGCATCTGTATATACATCAGTGTACATATTCATGCATAGATACATTCTCCTATAATACACATACAACACACACATGCACACATGCCCATATAGTGTCGTCAGTTGTAATCACCACTCTGAGCTTTGTTCCATGCTCCATGAAAGCAGTGAGGTCGAATTCAGATTTCTAGGAGAGGCTCCTTTTACCTGACCAGGTGGCTGTGGTGAGGTCTGCAGGGTCAGGTAGCTTGCTCTGTGCTGTCCTCACTGGGCGGGTTTCTGGTGCCCCTTGCCCTGTGGCTTGCATTGGTGATCGTGACTTGGGTTTTCTTGATCTTTGTCTCTGTTCTAGCAGATACAGGTTGAGCATCCCTAGTACAAAAATATGAAATACAAAGTATTCAAAAATCCCACACTGTTTGAGGTGGACATGATATTCCCAGTGGGAAATTTCATACATGATCTCACATAATTGTTTACAGTCAGAATACATACACACTAAAAATATTGTATGATCTCTGTTATGTGATAAGTACATAAAGCATAAGTAAATGCCATATTTAAACTTGGGTTCCTTCCCTGATGCATCATTTTATGAATATGCAAATATCTCAGAACTCAAAATGGCCCTAACCTAAAATGCTCTAACCCTATACATTTGGAAAAGTGGAATTTGAACCTATTCATGACTTTCTGCCATTTTTCTTTTGTGCCTTTTTATTGAATAGTCTTACTGGTGTATAAGCAAAACTGTAAAATCTGTCTAGCAATTCTCGTTGTGTTTAGTGTAGTCACAAAGGTGTGGACTGCCATCGCTCTGATCCTGAAATGGTTTCCTTGTTTCAGGCACTGGGAGCTGTGTGTGAGGGGTGCAGTAAAGAAATTGCCCCAATGGCTGCTCCCATATTAGGGAGGCTTTTTTTGTGAATAAGAGAGACCATCCAGAAACTTCTGGAAGAGTCTAGAGCAGAGAGAAAAGAAAGCAGACTGGATATGACCAGGGTTATCTGCAAGATAAGCAAGAACACTGAAGAGAATAGTGGAGACAGAGAGAGATACTGACTAATGGGGAGAGAGAGAGAGAGAGAGAGAGAGAGAGAGAGAGAGAATAGTAGAGATAGAGAATAATGGAGATAGCAGAGACAGATAGTGGATGCAGGTGTGGCAGCTTTGAGACGTCTGACAGGTACTTGTGAATAGGGACTGAGTGAGCCTGGAAGCTAGCATGGACTTTAATATGCCATCATAGATATATGTCAATAGAAAGATGTATGTCCCTTCTGCCAGAGTCAAGGGAAATGACTCCTTTGGGGGACTGGGAACCTAGTTCACAAATTCCTGGCTTTTCTCCTAACTACCAGCAATACTTCTATAGTCCAGCTGAACTTATTTCTGGATATATGGACTGCCTGAGACCTAAGAGTAGGTCTTATCTCTGGATTTGTCTATTCTACACATTTCACGTAGAGGAAATATCAATCTTTTGTGATTGGCATCTGTCCCTTAACACTTCCTAAGTTTCATTTACATCATTCCTTCAAGTTATCGAATAGTACGTATATATGAGCAACATCACACTATGTGTAACTTCATCAGTTCATAGACATTTGAGTTGTTTTTTTAGCAGGTATGAATATCATTGCTGTAGGTATTGTTTGTAAGTTGGTGTGGAAATATCTTTTGTTCACTTGGATTTTGTCTTAGCTTGCTTTCTACTACTTTGATAAGCACTGACCAAAAGCAACCTGGGGAGGAAAGGGTTTATTTAAGCTTACAACTTGTAGTCTGTCATGAAGGGAAGTCAGGGTAGGAAAACAACACAGGAAACCTGTTACGAGTAGATTTTTTTCTGTAGCCGGTCTGGTCCCACCGCCACGCCCCAAATAACGCACAGAGACTCTGTATTAGATATAAATGCTGTTGGCCGGTTACTTGTTTCTTATTGGCTAGCTCTGTCGTAAGTATTAACCCATTTCTATTAATCTAAGTATTTTCACATGGTCTCATCTTACCGGAGAGTGGGCCCGGACCTCTGTTCTCTCCAGTCTCTACATGCTGACTCCTCCCTACTACTTCCTCGAATCCTCCTTGTCTCCTAGTCCCGCCTATCTTGCTTTCCTATTGGCCAACAGTGCTTTATTCATTAACCAGTATGAGAAACATATTTACAGAATGACATCTCCCATCAGAAACTAGAGGCAGGAACTGAAGCAGAGACCATGGAAGGGTGTTGCTTACTGGCTTGTTCTTCGTGGCTTGTACAGCTTTTCTCCACACCTAGGGCCAGCCCAGGTGCAACACCGAATATAGTGGCTTGAGCTTTCTCACATCAATCATTAATCAAGCAAATTCACAGATATGCCTGTATGCTACTCTGATTAGGGTACCTTCTTAATTGAGGTTCCCTCTGCCCAGATGACTTACCTTATGCCAAGTTGACAAAAACAAACAACAAACAAACAAACAAAAAACCACTAACCAACACAGATGTATACCTGAAAGTGCAATTTTGTTAAGTCATATATTTTTAGGAACTGTCAAAGCTTTTAAAAAGTGTTATCATTGTGTTACAGTGGTATCAGCAACATTCTTCATCAACTTTGCTAATACTTCTTACCTTTTATCTGGTATCTTTTAAAAACAGCTATCCTAATCGGTGGGAAGTCCCTTGATTTGCATTTCCATAATGACTAAGTCAAGAATTGAAATTTGTGTATCACGTTTGAGGAAGTATCTTCATATAGCTTGCCTTCCCTTTAACAAATGAATTATTTTGTGTGGTGGGGTTAGATCATTAAGGTGTTCTCTCCTTGTACTATATGGGTTTGGGGGAATTAAACTTAGCCTTCAAGTATTGATGTAGCTCAATGTCCCCTCCTTTTTTTATTTGTTTGTTTAAACAGGGTTTTATGTAGAACAGGCTAGTTTTGAAACTCCTTATATAGCCAAAGATGGCCTTGATCTTACCTTTATCTCTAGAATGCTGGAATCATGTGTGCACCACACCCCATGTATAGTGCTAGGAGCACACCAAAGGCTTTCTGTAAGGCAGACAAGCATTTGTTGTAACTAAGTTATATCCCTCTTCCTTTTCCTCATTTTTAAGTTGTGTTGTCTTTTTGTTTGTGAGAAGTATAAGCTCTCTTTGTCCTAGAGGTTTGACTTTTATCCAAGTTCATGATTTGTAGTTTCTCAACTCTGTAGATCAACTCTCTGCCAGTTCCCAAATAACCTACATGGAGACTTAATATTAATTAATATGCTTGGCCAATAGCTTAGGCTTGTCTTCAGCCAGCCCTTACAACTTAAATTAACCCATTTTTCTTAATCTGTGTGCTGCCTGGAGGCTCATTTACTCCATTTATGACTTCCCACGTTTCTTCTTTCGCTTCTGGCTCTCAAGTCCTCCGACTCTGTCCTCCTTCTTCCGTACATTCTATCTATCCTGCAAATCCTGCCTAGCTGTTGGCCAATCAGGTTTTTATTAACAGTGAGAGCAACCCATTTTCACAGTGTACAGG